TCATCATTAATGGACGTCTCTTTAAAATGACCGCTCAGAGGAGAGGAGTTCTCATTTCTCTAACCGCCTGCTGCTTCCCCTCCTCTCTCCTCGGTTCCCCTCCTCGGCTCCTCCGCTCGCATCTCCTGTGGGCGTGACTAAGTCTCGAGGATAGGAGTCGAGGACGGGAGTTAGAGAAATGAGAAAGGGCCCAAGTGTTTGTGTGTCTGTGTATTTTCCCCATAAGGCAAGACCCGCCCAACTCTGTCTCTGATTGGCTTACCCTGAAATGTTACCCCCGTTAACCAATCATCACTCCTTTCTGGTCACTTTCACTTTTCCATGGTACTGTGAGAGGACATCACTGTATTCGCCTGTAAGTTACATCCGCAGGGAGATTCGGTTCAGTTGGATCACATAATGTAACGCAGTAACGCACCCATTTAAATCACAGTAGCCTAACTATAACGGCGTTACTGAATGGGAATAGGTAACGTTATTAGTTACCGCAAAAGGTATGCATTACGCGTTAGTTTGAAACGCGTTAGTCCCAACACTGGCATTGGGTAGGCCTAACCGTTTTCAACAGGCTTATAGGGAAAACATTCTGATTAAAAAGAACAAAAGCATATCTCATCAGTATCCATCAGTTAAATACACCCACCCGTAATATAAGGTAAAGTGTGTCTTATCTGTTTTAGTTTGCTCCACTTTATTTAGCTCAATTTGTTTTCTTGTATATATACAGAGTTGTTGTGTGTTACGTTTATTTGCATAGTCAGAAGTGGAGTATGCTACAGGTTGAACAGCACTGTATAAATGACGAATACACAGCCATAAAACCTAAAGGAATCGTTTTGGAAGTTTTCATGTTGGTTTGAAAGAGCTCCTTCTCCAGGGATCAGCGACACATTTTTTGGAAAACTAAGTTTATCATTATCTTTCAAGGTGCACTTTCTTTACACTATTTACCTCACTTTACCCTTCCATGTTTCCAGCTTTGTCGTTTTCTCTGCTCTTTCCAAAGCAAACTGAATCCCTTAGCAAACCCCGTTATTTTGAAATAACCAAGGTCACACAATTGTCAAAACACAAACACGTATTAGAAGGAGGACGGTAACATGTCAGTGTTTTACAGTGGAGACAAAGGACCTTGGCTCTTGGGAATATAAAGCGTTTCGTTCCCCCATGTAAAGGGCTGTCTTACACCAAAGTTAGGTGGTTCAAATGTTTTTAGGCGGTCATTTCTTAGGTGTATAATAAAGGTTTTGCTGGTGCATCCGTCCACAGGAGTGCATTACTTATCTTCCGTGTAGTTCTCCTGTCATCCACTGTAGGTACACCTCATAATCCCACTTCAAATACTAAACTATTCCTTTTCATACAAAAAAATGTGTTCAAGTAAAGACAGCATGTCAAATGATTCAGATGCTGCAGAGGTAGGAGTTTCTCTCCCCAGCAGAGTGAACATCTGCTCACACATTCAGGACTGCAGGCACTGATTTATGCACTCTGACATTTTTCATGGCATGTTTCCTGCTAACTCTTTCATGAGGGTGTGCTGCGGCCATGACAGACTACCTGCACTCTTTATCGTGACTCCCAAGGGGAAGAAACAAATGAAACGTTAAATTGAAATCTCAAACAATCAATAAAAACAAATGTGGCTGATTTGGTTCTCTGAGTGCTCTATTTATCAGCATGACTCATTGTTTTTCAGTCTTTTTTTTATTCATAATCATCACTAGAGGACAATCACAATAACCCCAAAAGCTCAACCCTGCCCTTTCCCTTTTAAAACAGCGAAAATAACAAGTACAAGCATTACAAAATCCATCCTAAGAAGAAATTCAGCTGAAAGGAAAACAGAAAGAAAGAGTACAAGACATCCAGGTCAAATCAATCCGTCCCAATAGACTAAACTATCTATGAGATGTGACATCTCAAAAATATATTTATGTACACACTCTGCTGTATTGTACTATACAAAATGTGACAACACTTGACACGTTCCCTGTATACATGCAAACACCTTACTGACACTGTGAAACTGTCCGATCTGAGTCAGCATTATTATCCGCTGCAGGGAAGTATTCTTTTCTTAAATAAGAGAATTTCCAGAAATAAGGAACACGTCTCCTGACTTCAGACAGCTGCTGAGTCAGGTGGAGCCACAGCGAAAACATCTCATACAAGATCTAAAGCGATAGTTTTAGATTCTGTGTGGTGGGGCTGTATGACGTCCTTATAAAGTCAAAACACAACCTACAGGTGATGAAGGTCAACAAGCCAAAGACTGACCCAGGATCAGCACGGAGGCTGAGACACTTTCTGAAGTGGAGGCAGCAGCACAACTTATTCTGGACACCTGAAGAAAGGCCCACCTAAAATGTTTTGAATACTTGTATCGCTTCACCGTTAGGCTCTTTGAAATCCAGTGGTGTAAAGTAACTAAGTGCTGTACTTAAGTACAATTTTGAGATGCTTGTACTTTACGTATTCCAATTTGTTTTGCTTTTTTGTACTTCTACTCCTCTACAATTCAGAGGTAGAGAGAGTACTTTTACTCCACACCGTTTATTTGACACCTTTAGTTACTTTACAGATTTGGATTAAGGATGTGAAATATAATCAACTGTTAAATCAGACTTTAGTTCCACCTGGAGTAAATTCACTGAAAAAAAAATGAAATCTAGACTTTAATTAAATGTATTATGTCAACAAATGACACACAAGTGTTTTAGGTTAGTTGAAACCAAAAATAATATGTTCAAATAAAACATATTTTAACTTAACACTATTGCTTTCAACTAAACGTATGCACACACATGATGTGTAAAGTGTTTACATAATACATTTAATTAAAGACAACATTTGTTCAGTATCACAGTCTACCCTTCAGCATACAAAGTAATTCAAACTAGCTCTGCCTTATCAACATTTAAAATATATACATGATTCTGAAACTTACCAATTTGCATAATGAGTACTTATAATTACAAGTATATTTTGATGCTAATATGTTTCTAATTTGAATTGAGTAACATTTTGAATGCAGGACTCTTACTTGTAACATAGTATTCTTACACTTTGGTAGTTCTACTTTTACTAAAGTACCAGCTCTGGGTACTTCTCCCACCTCTGTTGAACTGTCACCAGACTCCATTGTAAAGCAGTCATTACCCCTGCAGACCCTGGGGGTTGCTGGTATGTCATTGGTCTGTTAGTTACTTTAGGTTTCTGTTTGATGGAGTCACCAAAGTTTCACAACATCAAAAATAAAGTAGCCAATCCAAGCAGAGACTCAATAGCAGCTCCTGGAATACAATATATGTTCTGTAGCTCTGTGGAGGGTAAAGCTGGGGGTAGGTGTTCTGGATGGGCCTTCTTTTAGGGGTCTTAAATATGATTGGCTGTGTCCCTTGTCCAAAACAATACATTCCCCAGCTTCCTGCAGTTATCTTGTGTGTTTCTGAACCTACTGTGGGTAGCACTCTGACTAAGAAAAGCAGTGCTGCAAGAAGTACTCACATCCTTTACTCAAGTAGAAGTACAAATCATTGGTCTCAAAATACTCCACTACAAGTAAGAGTCCTGATTTTAAAATGATATTTAAGTGAGTATAAACAGTAAAAGTATTTTGTATTTACAGTATTATATTATCGTAGTTATTATTTTATCCTGTTTTTATACATGTGAGAGCATTTTTGTATTTTAGTTGGTGTGAACCAAATTTAAATACTTTTCAAATACTGTGTAGATAAGTATTACAGTACTGCATTATACAATCATTATATCATTACATATGTACAAAGTAACCGAGTGTTCAAATAAATAGAGTGGATTAAAAGTACTCCATGTGCCTATGACATGTACAGAAGTAGAAGTAAAAATTAGCATTACATGGAAAAACTCAGGTAATTATAAATATGCCAAAGAATTACATAAAAACAATACATAAATGTAATGTACTTAATAATGTTCTCAGTTATTTTCCACCACTGGAGATAAGTAACTCATAGAAGCCCACTTCAAAACATATAAACTATCCCTTTAAGTGTAAACCACATTTCAGTAATCTTCATACCGTGGTATGCATCACTTGTTCCTAAGCGTACAGCTGATGCTAAACTGATGATGGAGTCATGTCTCGAGGACCTGAGTTGACATAGGTTAACATGACACTGCTAATGTATGACTACCACTGCCAGCAAGTAATATTACTGTATGTTGAACCTCATAAGGCATTGTACATGTCTACTCAAGACCCCTGTACAATAAAGTGTGACCTATAAAGACTTTTTTATATTAAGGGTGGGCGATGGGGGGGGTTTCAGCAGGAAGTAGCTCTTATTCAGGATGGGCTCTGTTGTGGTGAACTTGAGTCACTAAACCTTTCCTCTGGAGCGTTAATCTGTGCAACAATACATCAACCAAAGGAGAGGTGAGTTCAAAGTGGACAGCTGTGTTCTTCCTCTGCAAGTGTTACCACCATGGGGACTAACATGTCGAGATGTGTGAGGCGGCTAGGGGAAAAAGAACCATGCACTGTGGATGAAGACGAAACATGGAGGATCTCTTCTGTGCGCTTTGCCAAGAAACGAAGCGTCCAAAAATTGAGACGACTGGAGGCCAGTTCCCGCCTCAACGCAAGTGTCACTGTTGTGTCCTTCAGTTATCTTTTCAACACATTTACACATACAGTCACACACGGGAGTGCTCACACACACAGCCACACACACACTTTAGGAGCATTAGCAGCTCTAACCCAATGTCCATGTCTCGCTAAACACTTGGTCCAATAAGGCCTTGACGGATTTTAGCAAAATCCTTCAAGCTCTGCCAAAGGTCCGACCCTCAAAGCCTCCCCCTACTCCTCCTCCTCCTCTTCGTCATCGGGCAGCGGTAGGAGCTCCTCCTTCAGACACTCCCTGTAGAAGCTGGTCAGCGTGGCGTATAGGTGCACGCGACTCTGCTGGGACAGGAAGTGGCCCTCATCTGGGTAGATCTGTAGGGAGGAGGGAGGCGTTTTACATTTTCAAATGTTCAAATTCAAAGGCTTTATTATCATATGCACAGTAGCTACAGTGTGTAGACAATGACAATCTTAAGTCCTAGGCCTCCAACAATGCAACATAAATATATAAGACATATAACAATAAAACTAACAAAAAAATAATAAAAATAGAGCACGAAGAAACAGAGTAGTAAAACATTGTGCAGGAACAATGTGCTGATTCATTCAAATGTGTTTGTAAATGGCTAAGTAAATGCAGGAGTATATGTAAATAAAATAGGATAAACATTAACAGACAGTAAAATTAGATACTGTAGAGTGAAATAAAATACAGTTTGTTGTAAACAGATGACTGCTTTAGGTTATGAAGGCACTTCACAGAGCTCAGGCTAATGCCTTAATAGCAGTCTGATGGCCTGTGGGATTAAACTTGATTAAAGTAGAGTAGATTAGTGCCCAGAGGTTTATCGACATAGAAAGTCAACCCGGGGAATAATGGCAATGGGTAAGGGGTAGACAGATGTATCGAGAGAACTGGAAACAGTGCTGGAGGCAGCCCTCTTCATTCCTGTGAGAGCTGCTCAGCAAGCCAAAATGGCTCTTGAGTACAAAAGTACAATATTTTCTATGTTGAGCAATATAGAAAATGCGCATTTTGACCACCATTGTACTAAATACAGTGTTCAGAATGTGCCTGGTGATACACACCTGCATTGAGTAGTTTGCTCCAACTTTCACCAGGTTCTTGACGAGCTCAGCAGTATGCTGGAAGTGAATGTTTGCTGGGAATGAAAAAAAACGAAAGATGTCAGCAGGATTCAGTGTGAGTACTAACTGAGAGAGAGAAGACACAATCAGATAGTTAGGATGGAAAGTCCTCAACAAATCCGACATGCATGATTCACCAGTGAGTGTTTGTCTCTGGAAATCACAGCATCAATTTAGATAACCCACTTTCCCTTTTATCTTTTGATTAAAACACATTTGGCTAATTACGTTCCAGGATTGCATGCTTCTTTGTGCTCAGCAGTGATGCACCGCAGATACAGTGTTTCCATTCAATCACAATTTATTTCCTCTTACCATCTGCTGTGCCGTGCACCAGCATCAGTGTCTCTTCTTTCAGCGCCTGGACACTCTGCAGTACGCTGGAAAACTGCGGATCAGAAAAAGTGGTGAGATAATAGATTGATAGATATGCTAACTGCCATTAAGTAAAGCAATAAAAAGAAAGGAGTACGATCCGATGAAAGACATGCGGTACATTCCATTAAACACTGATTACAGGCACCTAACCCTAACCCTAACCCAGTGTTTTAACCCAAATACAGACATTTTAGGGATTACGAATCTACCATTCAAACATTTTGTATTCTTCTTTGCATGTAATATTACGGTCTCAGGGATGGGAGGGTTACTTTAATAGTATTCTCTTACAATTACTTGTTACCAGTAAAAAATATAATCAGTAACATGATCGAATATCTCAAAAAAGCAATCTATTCTTATTACTTGTGAAAAAAAGAGAAAATAAATGTTAAACTTATCCAACATAGAAAGTATTTTTGTTTAGCAAATCAGCAGTCAACCTACTGTATATAACAATTTAATAAAGAAGAAGAATGAAAGTAGCCTAAATGAAAACCAAAAAGTGAATTTGGGCAGTAGTGGATAACAATAGTGTGCACAAAGCAGTTGGGATATAAATGCTTATCAAATGAGATGTTGTCTCCTTAACCCTCCTAGTTTCTCCGTTTCTCCCCCTTGCTTTGGTGTTCTCGGTCAAATTTGACCGGTCCTGTTTTAACTGCTATTACATTAACACAAAAACCATGAATCATCACCAAATTTCATTTAACGCCCTTTCAAACTGTACATATTGTATCAGACTACTGGTATACATGAACAGCTGCAGTAAATATACAAAGAACAGACACTGAACATGTATTGGTGTGCCAGGTGTGATTCATGTGGGGGGATGGGCACATAAGGGGGGGGGACATGTGTGTGTGTGTGTGTGTGTGTGTGTGTGTGCGTGCGTGCGTGCGTGCGTGCGTGCGTGCGTGCTTTATCTGATCTGGATGGTTACTAATTCCTTTTCTTTATGGCGGTCATTTTTGACCGGGAACACCATGGGTGTTACAAAGTTGACTAAATCATCCAAAATGCAATGAAAGTGGTGGTCAGCAATTGTATGTGTTCAAATGTCTAATGTGATGGGTATCATAAAGCCTTAATGTGTATGTGGGTTCAAACCCCACTGCAGTCAGCATGTCGTTGTGTCCCTGAGACACTTCACCCCAAATTGCTCCTGTGGGGATTGCCCACAGTATTGAGTATTTAAATCACTTTGGATAAAAGCGTCTAACGTGTGACATGCCATGTAATGTAATGTTAATGCAATCAAATGTAAAACAAAAAAGTTATGATTGATGAAAGTAGTAAATCGGTCAGATTTGACCCGAAGACAACAGGAGGGTTAAATAATGCCAGTATAATAACAGCTGGATGGCACAGCTTGCACTGAACCGTAATGCTGTTTCCCTTGTCTGCTTTTAATATAACATTTTTATAAGGAGTGGAAACATTTTCTGAACTATACAGATCTTATTCTTAACTGGAAGATTAGCTTCAGTTTCCCTTGAGACCCATGAAGTGCTGTAATGTGAAAGCAAGTTCAACTTGATCAGGCTTGGGGAGTTACGGATTATATGTAACAGGATTACGTAATCAGGATACTAAAACATGGAATCCCTTAGAGTTACATAAAACATATGTAATTAGAATCAGAATCAGGTTTATTGCCAGGTAATTTTACACAAGGAATTTGCGGTTGGAACATTAACAATCTAAGAAAATAAGTTGTAAGCATAGGTAAAAAAATATAAAGCATGAGAAAAAAAATATATTTTAAAGAAACTATTCAGCATTAAAGAAGAAGCACATTTAAATTTAAATATACAAAAGAACCTAAAAAACGAAAAGTCTTAGGACAATGAACGACTGTACTGTATATGACAAACTATTATTATATTTGAAAGTTGAGGGATGTGTGAAATATATTCAGAGCTGAGCATGAACAGGGCAACTAATACATGTTGTAATCAGATTACTATTATGTTTCCAAAATTGGGGACTACTAGCAGGATTACAATGTTCCTCACAAAGTAAAAAAGAGCATATTGTGTTTGTATTAAAATCTCTGCGCAGAAGTAACATGTCTCTGTTGTCTTACATAATACACTTAATTAAAAACACCTCTTATTGATTTTTATTTGTATCTTTTATTAATTTGATATTAAGGTGATCCAAAAGTAACAGAAAGTAATCAGGTAACATTACTTTTAAATGTTGATACTCAGATTCGGTTACTGATTACATTTTTTAAAGGTAGCTATTGTAATGGAAAACAAATTGAAAGTAGCCCTCCTATTATATGCCGTTCTTTATTTTAAAATGAATTGTACAAATTGTTATCCTGCCAGAAATCCCAATTTATGAAATAGAAATGTGACGGTAAACTAGAAAAGTGTTTTAGTTATGTTACTGTAAGGATTTAGAGTTAACTCTTCTTATGTTTCCTGATGATGTCATCCTGTCACATGATTCCATTACTCCCCTGTCCTGCACCGTCTATGCAAGTTGAGAGATAACAGATATTATAGCAATAGTGCAGACATATAAATGCATGTTTACTGACAGCAGTGAATTACAGATGTGTTGTCTGGTTGTTAACAATGTGCTCACAAAACATCCGTCTGTTCTCTAGCGCTGTGGAAGCCCCTCTGATAGCAGAACAACTTTCTGCGGGATTCTGAAGGAGAGGCAGGCAACCCTTTTGCAGCAGCTTACAAAAGAGAAAAAACCTCGGCCTGTGTTCTGACACACTGGTGCAGTTTCCAAAGAGAAATGAGTGACAAAAATCCTAACAGAGCGTGAATGAAACAGAGGGTGAAGCCTCGTTGCTCTGATAGCAGCGTTCAGGATCAGATGAGCTGAAGGTGTGTCAGGGATGTTTCAGCAAGCCGCTTTCAAACGTCAGCGGGGAACAAGTGAGGGAGGAAGTAAACACGCACCTGATATCTGCTGTCATCCCGTAATGGCATGCCCAGGTATCTCTCAGAGAACGCTGATGCTGTGCAAATGAGAAGTGACATGTGTTAACAGAGGGGACACAGCTCCAGCTGAGTGACTATACAGAGGACTTCCTGTCAGCCTCAGCTCACAGGAAGCTTCCAGTGGAGAGGGAAAACATCTTGTGCAGAATAAAGGGTCCACTGTGGCATCGTAAGACTGTAAACACATGCTGTCATGTGTTGTGTGTGTGTTACTAACGAGAGATTCCCCTCACTGTGTAGTCAGAGGTAATCACAAAGTATCATACTTTCTTTATTTCTACTTGTCAGTGAAATGTTGTAGTTGCAACATTTATTACATTTCTGGAAACCTGTTATTTAAGATGTACTTAGCTTCATTGAATCACATTTGATAATGTTTTGGTGGTGTCCTCAGCAGTGGACATACAATGACAGTTATTCCTGAGATACCTGCTTCATCTCTCCACATGTTAAAATGACAAATGAGTACAAAGATAATAATCAAATATAATTTGTGAACTGTTTTTGGATCGATCTGCCACCTAGGAGAGGGGACTTGGTACATAAATGGTTTTATATTCTATCTGTTCTATCTATTCTATCTGTTTTATGTTCCTCTGAGTGGACGCCATGTGTACAATGATTAGTTTCACTCTTCACAGTGATTGTATCTGTTAGAGCTGTTTATTGATTTAATAAGGAACCATGTTTTGTTTTTGTTTATAGATAACTTATTATTATGTAGTGTAATTATTTTTAGTTAATTAAAGTAATTATTTGTGCTTTTATTGTGAAGGCAGTTTTGGGCACTGGGTAATGCAGACACATGGTGATCATGTTTACATTGGAGACAGGTGGTCTATACAGTGGAAACCATTGTTCTCCATATTTCTAAGAAATAAATGCACAAATCAACGTTCTTGCCTTGATATTGACTATTTTCCTGAGTAAGATCCGCGTACTGGTGCCCGCGGGGGCAGCCGTTTTATTTTGAGTTAAATGTAATGTTTTGTTTCTTATGATTTAGCATCTACAGTATCGTGTTTTGTAGCTGAATACTTGTGTTAAATCCTCCATCCTGATGCAGGGGGTGGAGGTCTGTACTCACCGTAGAGTTTCCAGTCCGTCACCGGAGACATCGCACATGCACATTTGAAGAGGCTGTCCGTGGACTTGAGCATCATTAATGTTATGTACGCTCCATAACCCTGAGCACACACACATAAACATTAATTTTACTTTGAGGGGAAATCATTCAAGCTGTAAAAACAAACTCTATTTCAATGTTCCCTAAGAATTAAACAACAAAACATGTTAGCAGGGCACTTATAATATAGTGGAATGTAAAACAAAACATTAGACTTTTCCTGAAAAACATTGATTCATACACTGTGTATGGATTTTGCTCAGCAGCAGCACATCCTTTGCTGCTGGCAAAAATAGACTGAATTCATTGTACATGTAATTATAGAGGAGAACACGGCTCACCTTTCCAAACACTGCTATCCGTGTTCGATCAATATATGGAAATGTCATCATGAATCTGGAAGAAAAAGCCACATGCCATTACATTAGAACACATTAAGACCATATGAAACTGCACATGGAAGAATTGGACATGATCAATCATTATAGCAGATTTATGGTTTACTTAGAATTGTATTTCACCATCTGCTGGAATCATGGAGACGGAGTGGCTTGTGTTCAAACAACCTGGTTGGAACATAATATTAGATTGATATGGTTGGGCTGTTATCTTTAGGCATAGCATTACGTTTAGCTAATTAATGCAAGGTAATGAGTAAATGTATTTTGATAAGAGTGATTTGTTTTAAATTAAGTTTTCTTAATCTCTCTGGAGCCGCTGTGAGCTGTAGCTTGAGGTGAGAAACAGATGGTGGACTCTAAAGAGACAATTTGTGAGTAAAAGGATCTTTGCTGGAAGTGAAACATTCAAGACACAATTTCTGAAGTGACTCACTGTACTAGAGCACTTTTATTTCAACCACAGGCTGGGTTTCATCTCACCTGCTCCATTGTTCACATCTCATAAACAAAGTGTGCTGTGTGAGGGACAGGCATGAGCAGAGAAACAGGTTTTTTATTTTCTTTGCATTTTAAAGGCCTCCTATTATGCACAATTTAGTCACATATTATGGGTAAAAATGTGTAAAAAATATTTCCATGATGTGTTTTGCTCAAAATACAGTGATTAAACGCCATATCATGTTCCAAACACATCAAGCATTATTCCTGAAACAGTATGGAGCTCAAATGCTTTTTCTCTCTCAGGTTTACCACAAGGTGACTTTATTTCCTGCTTTTTTACACATACTCTCTCCAGTACAGGTTAGCTCTGAGATGCTTGCTAATGTAAACAAAGACCATATTACGTCCAAAACACGTTGTGCATTGTTTCTGATGCAGCAACGTTTCTGATAGGGCCGTGGATGTAAAGCCAGCCCACATTTTTGTTTTGATTTGGGTACGGAGGAAAAGAGAGAGGGTTTTATTTTTGACACTTTGTGAGTCTCCTGACACACATATTTATGTATAAAAGATATACAAAAGTGCATTTTGCATGATAGGTCCCGTTTAAAACAATACAGTTGAGCTGTGAAAAAATGTCATTTAATTTCAACTAAATTGTTAAAATGCAAAGTTAATTCTTCCTATTCTTTTAATTTCTCTCTACAATACTCACGTTCTATTGGTAAAAGTGAAATACCTTTATATATTTTGTGTGAATATATATTAATATCTCGAGTGTGGCAATCAACACATGTATTTATAACCACAGGTGTATGTGGTTATAAATACACCTACTGTGAAAGGCTAAAGTAAAGTCACCTGTAGCACAGAGGAACATTTCCTGCTGGTAGATGAGAGACATCAGAGAAATAGAAAAGGTTGTACTAAAACACATCAACGGGTGTGGACAGTTTGGATGCACAAAGAGCGATTGCACACAGCCAGCTGTGTTTCTCGTTACACCTCAAAGGACTAAACAACAGCTGTGTCAATTTCAATCACAAGTTTGTTGACAACAGAGGAAGGCAGCAGCTGCAACAGGGAGGCCATGAAAGCACCATGTTTTACTTGTTAAATATATTTCCTGATTACATAGTGTTCTTCCTAAAAGTTGAACAACAATCAGGTGCAAAGTGTTTTACTATTAAGAGATCATTGTAATATTGTTCCTGAGGGGATTTGCATGATGGAATATTTAAAGATGGTCCATCCTTTTAAAATAATTCTGAAATAACAATGACACAATAGCATTTGTCGAAAGTGAGAATCAATTTTCAATAAAAAAATAGTTTCATTTCCATGTTGCTTATAAGCACGCATATGCAGCCAAAGTCTTGATCATGGTGGGTGTGGATTCTTACATAACTTACAACTTTACCACAAAAACACTTTCGATTGTGAAATGTGGTCCAAAATGTGAACATAACACAGGGATTTATAGAAGAATGAAGTAAATTTGATAACGTACTCCACTGCAGCGATCTGGTCCTGGACATCCACAGTCCCCAGCCTCTGGTGGACTTCGTGCAGGACCCTCTGACCCTGGAATCCGCTGCCCCGGCCGTCCAGACGGGCCACGATGACGCTGTCTGAGCTGACCAGCACCGAGTCCCAGCCCAGAGAGAAGCGCTCGCTCACAGCCTGGCCACCGGGGGCGCTGTCTCTGTGAAGGCACAGGATGAGAGGATGAAGAAGACTCATAGGATTGCATCCAGCAGAATCAAACTGCTGGAGCTGAATTGAGCCATTGTGTGAGTAGAGGGGCTCGTTGTCTGGGAAATTACGTCAAGCGAGTGGTGTTACTGTTGATGATGCTTCCATGCACCTGCTGCAAAAAGGTGTGAAGTGTGATCAAAATGATTGAACCAAACAATAAAGTCTGCAGACTGAGGTTCAAGGCAACGTCCAGAAGTGATCCTTCAGACAGTAGGCTACCCTGAACTGATAAGAGAAAATGCTTTAAAATGTAAATGTTTCAGATTTTGAATAAGCATTATACAGTAAACGATAATGTTCCCTATTGATTTGTATACCAACGAATGAATGTCAGAACTTAAAATAACTCCTCAGTATGTGATTCTGACATCTTGTGCGTTGTAGCATTACAAATGATACTTACATAAGCAGCAGTAGGCCATAGTGACGGGACTCAGAGAAGTCTGGAGGATAGGAGATCTTTAAAGGTAAATCTGTCAAATAGAAAGAAAATAAATGCTATCACAAATTCATCTTCAAATCACAGAAACAGAATATAAACCAATACATTTTCTCACCAAAATGTTCCATCTGCACGGTTCTGAAGTCGGTCATCTGGATCCTTTTGAACTGCAGGGCGGCCTTCAGCAGCAAGTTGTTCTCCAGGATGTAGTAATCTGTAAAGATGGGGGATGTGTTTAAAGGATGATGGAGTCCAGTAATGGCTGCCAATAATCAAAGCGCCGCTGCATACAAATGGCCCATAATAACAAGAGGTGTAATGAGATGAAATGGAAGGTGGAGGTACGACGGATCATTTCTGACGTCGCTTCATTTTGTGGTAAATGCAAATGTTTCGGGACGCTGAATACATTCCTGGATTCGATCTCTTAGGGGTTTAGCTGCTGTAAATAAAGGAGACAGTTTGAAATACTCAAATGTGATAAGAAAGAGGATGAAATATGCAACCAAAGACAAATGTAAATCACCTTGTTCCTAACATAGGTTGTATGTGTCTTTTGAATAAAAAAAGGAGGATTTGTGTAACACTGTCAAAAAAGTTGTGCTTCGTTTGTTGTTCAATTGTAATAATTATGGTCATGTGTTCTGTTGTTAAACTTGTATGAGCACATAACTATAGTCAAAAGGTTTATATTTCTAAAGGTATTTTACTCCCAGCAGCTTGCTCAATTTGGCCTCAAACACTAGAGCCCAAGTTTGTTCTCCACCTGTAATAAACAATGACTCCCCAGTTCGGCCAATTCTCCATTCAAACCATCTGAGAAGCAGCTAAATGAAATGGAATTCATCCAGCACTTCTAATGGAAAACCCAAAATCAATAGGTGGCTCATTATGAAGCCGCCAGAGGCCTGGAGGTCCCAGCTGTGGATGGAGGGCCTATCCAAATATCCTCGGGCAAATTGCACAGCTGTTAACTTTCTCTTTTGGTGGGGGGGGGGGGGGGGTATTCAGACAGTTTTAAACCAGTAGAAAGCTGTTTATACTCAAAACATTCAGAACATGCAAAGTTTCAATTACAGGGAAAAAGTGATCACTATATTTTCAAAACCTTATTCAACAACCTGAACACAGTCACCCTTACACAAAGAGATGTCTTTCTGAAAATTCTTTCTATTTTTCGTTCAGCAAGACCTTAAGACATTTGAAAGATTTGTGTAAAATCTTATGTCCTCCTTTTCCCTAAAAATTGCCTAAAGCCACAACAGCAAACATGAATAGGCGAATGTAAACATATGACTTAAAGGACAGAGTAGGTCTAAACTTATATATAGATGTAACTAATTAATCCAAAATACCATACTGTATTTGGTGATTTCCAAACCTTCTTATGTTTACTCATAAACATACATAAACATTAGGTTAGTTAAAGATTCTGCTTGGAACTAGGTTACGTAGAAGGAGACATGGTTACGTATCAATGTAGGGACGTACATGCTAACATTGTGACATACTGTAGATATGTAACATAAAATATCTCAATATTACATCTTTGTTTTGAAATAATGATTGAAAGTCTTATCCCACTGTCTATACTACTACCGCCAATAGAGGTCTCTAACTAACAACTGAAAAATAGATCCTACGAGTGCTTACTTGAATGAATGAGGCTGTGTAAGATCACAGTAGGTGCTCCAGGACCTGAAAAGGAAAAAGAACAAAACATGAGTGTAATTTAAACATCATCCTGTTACTCCGATTGAACGTTGTGTGTGCTATATGCAGATGATGGAACATTTTAAATCACCATTCGTTCTTCCAGCATTGTATCAGTCTGTGTGAAAGGGTTGCTCCTCTAAATCAGCCTCACAACAGTTAAACACAGGAAGTCCAGGTCCCTGCAGAACCTGTGTGATTTCAGGTCACTCACAGAGCCTCACTGACAGCCTCGGACTGTCGAATCGACTCGGTTATTTTCAACATCCTTTTATTATACTTCATCAGAGGTTAATAGGATGGCAGGTGTGTTGAATAGCTCCCTCAGCAGCCAAACACACACACACATTCCTCCTGCACACACACTTTGTACTGAAACTATGAAAGTAGCTCTTCCTTTATTTCCTCTCTTGCACTTACTGTTGTTACTGCATTAGCCTCGACCTTTGCATTCCTCACTTCTCTCTTATGACACACAGATAAATGGTTTCATTATGTAGCTGCTATAGTAGCAAACCAATCAGAAGCGTTCTACGAGTGGAAAGAAAGGCTAGTGTTACTCCTGATGAAACGGGAGTCAGGACAAAGATGTTCTGTGAACTCGGCCCTCGGAAACAACAAGCTTCCTCCGTTATTTCTATAGCTTTTGGGAAAAGGGAACTGTTTTATTGTCTAATAAATCACTAAGCGAAATGCTTCTGAGCATGAAGCACTCATCTGCTCGAAATAAATTGAAACCACAAACAATATAAAGAGTTACCCTCTATTAAATAAGCTGCTCGCTGCACAATAACTCCACCGAAAATTAATTAGACACAATATAGGAGCTAATTGTTTAATTGAATGCCTCTCATTTGGAACTGATGAGAGATGAATTTAAAACAGAATAGTTGGAGGATGACAGATAATTACCACGGGCAAACCCTGACATCTGCCACATGATCTCAGGAAGACAACAATGAGAATAAATGAGGAACATTAAGCACAGAACCATCCATAATTTACAAGCATTTTTTAATCTGTTGCCTGAAACCATTTTAATGTATGGCCTTCATTTTCCAGATATGTGAAAGCAGAGGTTGTACAAGTTTAGAACACTCCAGTGTTTAGATGATCTGTTTGATAGATAATGCAATGAGAGTGTAACCACTGGTAACACACACGGTCATTTATATTCTTTATCTGCAGAAAGAAAATGCCCTTTCTGGGAAGAAGTCATCGCCCCTACTGGTAGCCAGCTCCAATATAATACCTTGATTCCACAGTGATAGTGTTATGATCCCTAACAAGTTATAAATGAGGATTAGTCGAATGCAAAACTTAAAAAAGTAGTTTTACTGGGGATTTAAAAGATGGTGCATGATAATCATTTCAAATAGAGCATCCAGAGATAGTCTTTCGTAAAAACTTAAGGATGACTCATCGTATTTATCAATGTGTAAAGCGTGATGTGGGGAGTCCTCTACAGTTACATGGTATCGATCACGTTCCAGAATCAATATTAAATAATTCCCTCGATCATGACCGTTGCATTCCATTTTATTAGGAAATATGACTCCATGAGGAAGGTAAAGATGCTCTAACCTCAGCAGGAGTTTAAGAGCAGACACTGGAAGAGCCTTTAATCAAAAATGAATATGTGTTGGCCTACCTTTACAGCGGAGGATAATGTGCTGGTTGGTGGGGCTGATGTCAGAACCGAAGTACAGACAGTGAGCTTTGTTCAGCTCGCAGGTCAGACACCGGCGTGGGAACAGACCCACCGTCTTCACACTGAGGAGAGGAGGTCACATGAGGAAAGTACAACTGTTTGAGTCAAGTTTGTGGGTAATGTCAGCATCACTTTATCTTCTTATAACTATCAAACAATCCCATAAAGAGTCCAACACCAGCAATACAACATATCCAGCTTAATGTATTACAACCTGCTGCAGGATAAAGCTCAGGGCAAAGACAATCTATTGAAATGTAAAGAAAACTGGATGAGTAGAAACAATGAGGAGTGGTGTAAGTGATTAGTCAACTGAGAGTAAATTATCCTAAACGTTTTTAGGACCAACATTTTAGGTTCTAGCTTCTCCAATATGAGGATTTGCTGCTGCTGCTGTTGTCACTGTTTCCAACATTGTTATACACGAAACAATTGACAGATAATCTGGAAAATAATTGACTGTGGGCGCTGTGGCGCAGGAGATAAGATATATCAGGCGTTGGATACACAGAGAATGATCATTAGCTAAGCTGATATATTAGTTATAGGTAATTAAAAGATACAAATAATACCAGCATTATCCTTTAATGTCGGTATATTCACTATAAATAAAGTGTTTGTCATCAGAAAGAAAAACAGAGCAGACATGGAGTGAATACAGTGATTTTATTATCAGTTTGCTATGAGTCGTGTGGGAGTCTTGCAAAGATATTTTATGACAAATGTCAAATGTGAATATGAAGTACATCAGCTATAACTGCAGAACAAACCTGAAAAGCTGCCGTCGTCGTGGTGATCCCTCTGTGCTGATAAAATAACTGTTGAGAGGAAACAACAAGAGCAACAACTTCATATATCTTTCTTTAAGCTGAATTCATACATCGACATTTCAAACCAAATGTAGGATCTAAAGTTAAGATAACATAATACGAGTATTCAAATGTGACAGTGGATAGACCACATGAAATATATTAAGAGGACATAGTTAATGGATTAGAGTGTGCTTAAGACCTTCCTCTTTGATAAAGCTTATAGTAGGGCTGATTAGATTCAGCCCCTAGTTTTGCTGCTATAGGCTTAGACTGTCGGCACCTTACTTCTTCCTTCTCTCTGTCTGTACCTGTGTACTCTCATGTTCCCAATAACCCAGCTTCCCCCAAATTTCTTTTTGGTGTCTATATACGCCGGGATCCTGAGTCGTGGCTGATCCTGTTGTCCTGTGTCCTGGATCCTGAGCACTGGATCCTGATTTCGAGTCGTCACTGTGGTCCTGCCTGACTTTCATCATACTACTTCCCTGATGGCTTCCACAGGATTGTTGACATCCTCGTAGATTCATCTTCTTATTATAGACACATGCATTTCCAAACATTTGGTTTACCTATGTTGTAAATGTATTATCTTTTCGATTAACACACGGCATCTATTGCACGTCTGTCCGTCCTGGGAGAAGGATCTCCCAGGGACCTCCTCTGTTGCTCTCCCTGAGGTTTCTCCCATGTTCCCCTTTAAACTGTGGGTTTCTCTGGAAGTGTTTTCTTGTACGATGTGAGGGTCTAAGGCAGGGGAGCCTAACCAGTCGATCGCGATGGCTGGTGGGCAGTGGGCACTAGTTAGCTGACGATGTCCATGACAACAGGAGTGACAGTCCGCACACACACAAGACCGCAATTATGGCAGAAGCAAAAAAGCCCAATATATATAATTTTCACTCCGAGTGGGAGGATGATTATTTTTTGGTTTATTCCAATTCAAAGTCCATCTGTCTCATCTGCAATGCGAGCGTGGCTTTATCAAAGAAGGGTAATTTAGGAGCGGCATTTCAAAACAGTGCAAAAACGCTACGAGACGGAATTCCCTCCTAATTCTGCCCTACTCTCTTCTGTTCGTTGCGTGCATATGTAACAGAGTTACACATGTGAATACATAATTATAAGTTTGTGAATGTTTAATTAATAATAAGTTGTGCATTTTAAGAGATGAGATTGTTTCATTTAATATTTTAATATTTTGTTTCCCGTTGGAAAACCGTCCCGTTGCATGTCTTTTTTTACTCTGGTATGTATTTTCCACCCTCCGCGGACTGGCCATCTGGAGAATCTGGAGAATCATAGAACAGCCGGTGTAGGTACCATATG